GATTTAGCGTTCTTCTCTGGCTCCAAATTCTACAACTTCAATTCATGGAGGAATTATCCTAATCCCATGATTAAACTAATCCATTAAAAAATAAAAAAGAAACCTTCCCAGAAGCATTAAGTGGATGGGCGTAATCAACATCCCCCGGATGGGACCAAGTGGGCCAGGAGGATGTGAGCACCCCACAGTCACACCAACACTGAGGTGGACCTGACTACATCCAGATTTTCAGTAAGGAAGCTTTATTTGTCATTCACCATGAAAACAATGCCCACTAATTGATATTAATAATTAATCTCGTTTTAAGAAAAATCAACTTATCACTTTGGGAGGCTGAGATGGGTGGATCACAAGGTCAGGAGATCGAGACCATACTGGTCAACATGGTGAAACACCCTCTCTACTAAAAATACAAAAATTAGCTGGGCATAGTGGCATGTGTCTGTAGTCCCAGCTACTCGGGAGGCTGAGGCAGGAGAATCGCTTGAACCAAGAAGTCGGAGGTTGCAGTGAGCCGAGATTGTGCCACAGCACTCCAGCTTGGTGAAAGAGTGAGACTCCGTCTCAAAAAAAAGAAAGAAAAAAAAAAAGAGAGAGAGAAAGAAAAATCAACTTGTGTGGGTAAAGAAAGGACTACATTACTAGCTTAAAAATTAGCTTTCTGTAAGTCAGCCTTGCTGATACACTCTACAGATGGCATGTATTTTCACCCAATCAGGAAATACTTCAAAGTAACATTGATGGGTTCTTGTGAGCTTTTATGTCATTCTTTATAGAACTTCAGTTATGGGCCAGATTTCCAAGGATTTTTTTTTACAATATCATATGTGTGTTTTTTTGACCTCTAATCAGCTTTGTTCACATGAATGAATACCAATGATTCAGATTTTTAAAATGCCCTTTGGCAGATGAATTCAGTTCTTCCAGTCTTGTAAATAAATACAATCAGGCAGTGATATTAGACCATTGCTCTGTTGATGAATATATAACTTTAAGTGGCTGGTAAACCTGCACAAATACTGGAGACCTACAGGGCTCAGAAGCGAATTACTGACCTAGGAATAACAGGCTGTTTTATACCCAAAATGACACTGCCGACCCAACCTTAATAAGACTTGGGGTTTGACATTTTTTTCCAGACACAATGATAGATTCTCACTGATCTGTTTATACTCTATTGCCTGTCCCCAGTGTGATCAATATAATGCAATAATAGATGACTGACTGGAGTTATGAATGCTATTTGTGACCCTGACTCAACTCATACCTAATTCTGCTATACAGTGACCAGTGAGGTTCCTATTCATTTAACATAGTTTATACTGAAGTATTATGCGGAACCATATGAAATTGATGTTTTTGTACGTCAAAAGAGTCTAATGTCAGTTTTTTCATATGGACCAAACTAACATCAAAAGAATTTCTTTCAAAGGTTGTTTTGTCCTGTTCCTAGCGTATGTACTTTGTAACAGCAGTCCAAAATTTTTCTTAAGAGTGTTCCTAGCGTATGTACTTTGTAACAGCAGTTCAAAATTTTGCTTAAGACATTGTTGTTATTTCCTGCTGGCTATATGTTCCTTTAACTTTAAATGTTTCAGAAGTGGTTTTTATGCTTCTTCTCTTTGCTTCTTGACTAGTATGCACAATTCATCAAGAAAGATCAAATATGTTGCGTTTATACCAGCAACACATTAAACATAACACAATTAAGCCTAAATCTTTTTGAATAAGTTTTCAAGGAAAGAAAGGTAATATTGTTGAGCAATATTATGATAACAAGCAAAATTGTGTCAGCCAGATGACTGCTGGTGTGTCACTGAATAATTTATACTACTTCTGAAATAATAACAATGTGTCCCCTACAATCAGCCTGAACTCTTTCTCAGCGGATGTATTAGCAGTGAATCATATAAATTTTCGATCCTTCACACATATCTCTGTGCAAGGAATTGCCCAGGAAATTCCAAGAGTATGAATGAATTCCAAAATGTCAGCTAAAAAAATACATACTCAGTTCCAGGTCATCTAGGTCATCCCTGGTAGGAAACATCAGTATCAAAAGAAAGTATTATTTTTTTTAACTAAAGATGATGCATTTATTCAATATTTTTGAAAAAAGAAAGCAAAGTTAACTAGTTAATTGTCAAACTACAGATGCTTTTTGATTTACGATGGGGTTATGTCCCCAAAACCCCATTGTAAGTTGAAAATCTTATGTTGAAAATGCATTTAATACACTTAACCTACCGAACATCATAGCTTAGCCTGGCCTACCCCAAATGTGCTCAGAATACATACATTAGCCTACAGTTGGGCAAAATAATCTAACACAAAGCCTATATAATAAAGTTAGTTGTTATGAAGAATTTTGAATCAAAATTCAAAGTATGGTTTCTACTGAATGTATATGGCTTTTGCACCATTGTACAGTCAAAAAATCCTAAGTCGAACCACCATAAATCAAGGACCATCTGTAATTTTAACTGCCAAAGTAACTCAAGGCAATAAGAAATATCATTTGTTTTTGACAAGCAGATATTTGAAGTAAATCTGCAGGATTTTCTCACACATTTCCACAAGACTAAAACTCATTGCATAGTAAACCTTTAATGCTTTAGATTAACTTTGAAAAATCCCACTATTTTACCTTTATCTTTGCAATTGACTCCCGCTGTCAAACTGGGGAATTCACTTAACCTCTCTTATATTAAATTCTCCAACTTGTGCAATAGATACATAGATTATTAGCAAAGCAGGCAATTGTATACTGTTTATTTTGATGGAACTTTATTGATTTTAGCTATTTCCAAGCCCTGGTATACTTATCTAATACTTACATTTGAATATAAGCAATATTTTATTGTCACCATTAAAATGGATTTAAAAGAGTTTTAGGAAGGCTAATAAAATTAGTGCAAACACTTTTGAAAGTGTCAGATTATATACAGACATGCAAAATAATATTCTAATGTTATCAGCAAACACTTGAATCCCCCTTTCCCTTTGTTAACATGAGAACACACTCTTTCCTCTGATTTGAAGTGGGAAAAGAGCTAGAAAGTAGAATATGGGAAAAAGGGCTCTTCTAGTACCTAAACATGATAGCCAGCGGGCAGGTGAATATGAATTAGATTTGCTACTCTTCAGCTATGTTTCTTTCTGGAGGCTGAGCTGTCTGGCTTTTTCTAAGAGGGCTGTAGCCTATAAGATGGCAGATCCTGCCAGAGTGCTAGAACCATCACATGTATCTCAAGGGAAGAACATGGTTGCTGCCTAAGAATTGTTGTTGTAAAGATTATGAGCCTGACAGTGCCTTAAAGCTATTCAAACTTGTTCCACCCACTACCAGAAAAGTGAGTCTGCCCTAGCACTGTGGCATTTTAGGACCTGTGTCTCAAACACATTCATTTCCTTTCCCAGGGCCAGGAAGGACTAGGGCACAAAATATAAAGAAGCGCTGGAAATATATAGTAATCAAGATACATAATGTTTTTTAGAATTAAAATTAATGCAAATAATGTACGATGAATATCAAAATTGTAATTAGGTACAGGATTGATATTACTAATTATTCCTTTTGTCTTAGGTTCCACTATGGCTCAGTAAGACGCTGTTACTGATCTTGTCATCGCTTAAAATTTTACTAAGTTTCATTTATTTATCTATTTTTATTTTTATTTTTGGGACAGAGTCCCGCTCAGTCACCCAGGCTGGAATGCAGTGGCACGATATCGGCTCACTGCAACCTCCACCTCTCGGGCTCAAGCCATTCTCCTGCCTCAGCCTCCTGAGTAGCTAGGATTATAGGCGCCAGCCACCATGGCCTGCTAATTGTTGTATTTTTAGTAGAGATGGGGTTTCACCATGCTGGCCAGGCTGGTCTTGAACTCCTGACCTCAGGCAATCCACCTGCCTCAGCCTCCCAAAGTGCTTGGATTACAGGCATGAGCCACCGTGCCCAGCCTTTACTGAGTTTTATTGGTGCCACCCTAATTTGTGTGCCAGAGGGAGGTCCTGGCCCCTGACATCTACTTAAAAATTTTAATTTTTTTACTTTGCCCTTTGTTTTCTGACTAGCTCAACCTCTCACTGGCTTCCCTCTCTTAAGTCACCTCCTGACTATGGTTGTGCCCTTTTCTTTGTGTACGGATGATCCTGACATAAGATGGTTGAACTTACCATTTTTCGACTTCACAATGGTGTGAAAGTGATACTCATTCAGTAGAAACAATACTTCCAGTGCCTATATGACCGTTCTATTTTTCACTTTCAGTACAGCATTCAATAAATTACATGAGATATTCAACAGTTTATTATAAAATACACTTTGTGTTAGATAATTTTGCCTAATGTAGGCTAGTGTAAGTGTTCTGGGCATGTTTTAACGTAAGCTAGGCTAAGCTGTAATGTTCGGTAAACTAGGTGCATTTTCAACTTATAATGGGTTTCTGGGGACATGGTCTCATCCTAAGTTGCGTGTCACCATCTACACTCTAAACTCTAAGAGGTCAGGAATTGTATCTGTTTAGTTAATAGCTGAATCGTGAGTACTTTTAACACAGTGCCTGGAACACAGTAGCTGAATGGAAGCTGATATTCAATGTTGTGCATGGCTTTCTTGCATGATTATGTGGTTGGGAAATGTCTCTGGCAGAATCCCTACCACAGAGCCTGCTACAGGGTCACAGACCTCTTTCCAGGATTTTCCTGAATTCTGGGGACAGGGAACCAGAAATAATATATCTTGAGGTTTGCAAAAATCAGAGAGTCAGTGGACTTATGTGCACCCAAGTAGATTCAAATGGGAATCAAGAAGATGATGAACCTTTTTTGGGGGTGGGGTGGGGAAACTAACATAATGTAAGGTGTTTAAAAAAAAATGTTCTATTTTGCAAAAGATACAGAAAAGAGTATGCTAATTTACATGATTTGAGCTTTTTGTTTGTTTATTTGCAGTGACTCCTGAAGTTGCTCAGGTTTGGGAAGTACACAACACTTACCTTCAATGGTACACTGATCAGGGACTGGAATCTTCTTTCCAATTTCCATGGCATATGCTTTCACTTTGCTGAGGTTTTTTTTTAAGTGCAAGTAGAGCTTATCTTGGTATTCTATAGGACTTGCAGTTGTCTCTGGAGTTTCTTCCTGGAAGTTTTCTTTAACAGTTTCTGGCAAATTCTCTGAGTCTTTATGTATAATATTTGGGTATGAAACTGAAGACTCTCCCAGCTGTGATCTGTCAGTGTCTGCCTTAAAGGGCAGCTTGTCATTTCCTTGGCTAAGTGGGTCTATTTCTGAAAGAGAGATGCTGGCTAGTATATCTCTCCTGTTTTCATCTTCACCATCGTCTGAACTCACACCCTTTGTGAGCACAGTGTGCAAAGCCAAACTTTTTGACCTAGAGTTCAAACAAAGGGAAAGTTAGAGAAGCTGTGTTACCATTCACTGCCAAGGAAAAGAAATAATAATAATATTGGGACAAAAAGTTACTTCCTCTGGAGTGTGAAACTATTAATGGCCCTGATAAATGTACATCACCAACAAATGATGTAATAAACCAAACCTTTGAAAATCTAGGTCACCTCCAAACACAAAGGTTTAAAAATCAATTTCATGGCAAAACTGGCTGCAAAATGATAGACTTGCATATTTTTCATCGTTGTCTACCTTTGCTTTTGATTTTTCATCAGAAATCAAGAGACGGTATTTTCCATATGGCATACTTATATTTAAGAATTACTTTAAAAATTAAGCAATAGGTTTTTTTTCCATTCATAGTACCCATTTAAAATAGTGAACTTCTTTGGATAATGAGAGCATTGTGGATAACATTTCATTCATGTAAGGACAGCACTTCAGGTGGCTATAGGTAGAAGATATATAAAAAACACCCCGTAACAGAGTGATAACAAAGCTAATAGCTGATATTAAGTGTATAATTTAAAAAACAAACCAAACAAGAGTTATACCTGTTAAATCTAATGTTTTTTCTTTCTTCTTTAGAAACTTGGCCCAGACTATATCTTCTGATAGAGCCAGGGGTATTGCTGTCTGCATTTATCTTGTCTTCAAAAGCCTGGATTTTAACTTGGAGTTTTTCATGGTCTTCATTTTCAGCTACTATGAGCTTGGTTTCTTCCAGTTTCTCAGGGAATTCAATTTCAGTGCTGATTTTTCTCCTAAAGGAATACAAATCATTGCATTAGATGTTGGTCATATATACTCTTCAGAACAGTGTTATTCTCTATTTAACTGCCTCTCACTCAGAAGCGAAAACTTTGCCTAATAAATTTTTTCATTAGTCATTTAACAAGTATTTACTGAATATCTACTACAGGCATAGGTCTTTGAAATTCTTTCTACAGATTGTTCTGCCAGAAGTTTAGAAACAGCGGTGTTTATGTGAACATTGTATTAAAAATGCTTTTTTAAGGGTTCAAAGAATAAAAAGCAGTTTTTATGCTCATGTACCATATTCTTTTCTAGAAATTCTTCCAATGTATGGCTTTCACATGAAATGTGTGCCAGATATTTTCTAAAAAATTTACATGTGCTGATATGTTTCTCCTGAAATCACAGAATAGGAACATTTCACATGGACTGCATAAACTCATGGTTTTGTTAATTTTAAAAAAATCAGTATAGCAAGAAATATCTTTCTGAATTTTAAGATGTTGGAAGGAAGAGGTTTTCTATGAAATGATATTAATATAGACTCAAGTATCTTTTATAGCAGGGTTTATAAACCACTTTGTGGGTCATTAAAATTACTTCCTTTAAAGCAGGGGCCATGTGTGGTATAATTTTGGATTTCCTCTGAGGGCTAACAGTGCGTTAGCTAGGATAAGCACCTACAAATAAACTGCAGAAATAGCTTTCTGATGTTCACTGAGGTGCTGAGTAATTATATGAAAGTAGCATGCATTTATCTTCCCTTATTTATCTTCTAATATTGAGCTGGCCTACAGGTATTTTAATTTTTATTCAACAACCACTATCCATTTTTATAACACATGGTGTTAGTATTAATTCTTTTCTCAAAAAAAAAAAAAAAAAGATAAAAGGAATTATTTACTTACCACACTTTTGACACACAATGTGTGAGTTTTTTTCTCATACCAACTAATTCTCCAACCCTCTAGACACCAACTGGGTGTCCTACAGTTCAATTCAATCCTAATACTGATGACCTGGAATAAAGCCCAGACTCCACAGACTGCCCCCAGTTCAGATGCCAGTGAGAAGTATGGGGTCCCCAGCTTACTCACACTTCTGTTCAGCTGGGCTACAAAGGTTCCAGCACTGCCCCACCTCCATGATTCAATAATTCACTGGAATGACTCATAGGACTCAGGAAAACACTTTAACTTATTATTATTGGATTTATTAGAAAGGATACAACTCAGAAACACCCCAGTAGAAGAGATGCACAGAGCAAGGTATGGGAGAAGGGGCTCAGAGCTTCTGTGCCCTTTCTAGGTGTGTTGTACTCCCAGCACCTCAATGTGTTCACCAATCTGGAAGTTCTTGGAATTTTAGGGGTTACTAGGATGGTTTCATTATTCAGGCGTGATTGATTAAATGATTATCATTGGTGGTTAACTCAATCTTCAGTCCCTCTCCCCTCCCCAGAGACTGGGGGTGGGTGAGTTATAGGGTAAGATAGAGAATGGGGCTGAAAGTTCCAACAATGTAATCATGCCTTGGTCTTTCCTGTGACCAGCCCCAATCCTCAAGAAATCTAGGGGTCCCTGCCACCAGTCATCTCATTAGCATATAAAAGACACCCATCAATCTGAGATTCTGAGGGTTTAGGAGCTGTATGCCATGAACTCGGCATGGAGGCAAAATATTTATTTTTTATTACAGTACATAATAATCCCTAGAAATATATTCACCAAGATGGTCTAATGATTTTTTTGATTTGTCTGTGTGTATTTACTTGGCCGTCTTTAGTATTTTTCCAAGACTTTGAGGAAAGGGCCCAGACTTAAACAAAAATCTTAGCTTCTTCAAACATTTTTCCCTAAGGGCCAAAGTGAACCTGGCATATACCTGAATGAGAGTGAGAGGAAAAACATACTTAGGAAAAAAAAAAAGAAAGAAAGCACTGCCAGGCACGGTGGCTCACGCCTGTAATCCCAACACTTTGGGAGGCTGAGGTGGGTGGATCAGTTGAGGTCAGGAGTTCGAGACCACCCTGCTCAACATGGTGAAACCCCGTCTCTACTAAAAATACAAAAATTAGCTGGGTGTGGTGGCAGGCACCTGTAATCCCAGCTAACTGGGAGGCTGAGGGAGGAGAATCAATTGAACCTGGGGGCGGAGGCTGTCGTGAGCCGAGATCGCACCATTGCACTCCAGCCTGGGCGACAAGAGCGAAACTCTGTGTCAAAAACAACAACAACAACCAACCAACAAACAAACAAGCACAAGAACAACAACAAAAAAACAAAAACAAAAACTGCTTTTTAGGAAAAAGCAATGCAGAAGGGCTGGTAACTAATTTTTTCAGTTACAATCTACCCATTCTGGCACCTATATCTGCGGTGGACACTGGTGAAGGTGCGTTGGCAGGGTTGGATGGTGAAGTTTTTCTGGCTGGCCCAGAGAGGAGAGCAGTCCTGGCGTTGAGGGAGGGTTCATGATTATGGGCCCTCAGTGGTCAGAATTCACCTGTAGGTCCAGCCCAGGGACAGCTGCTGATGGTTCAAAGTGGGAACCAGCATCTTTCAGGTAACCAGGCAATTGTTTATTGTTTAATAAGAGGTTACTGATACAATTTAAAACCATTTTTCTTACATAATTTTATAAGTTTTCTATGACTTTACATAATTTTTATCTACCCATACCATGCATAAATGAAATATACATTGGTAGATTGCAAGAATCAGTATGTGGGAATAGAGGCTAAGCTTGAAAATGTTTTTCTTTCTGACATATATATGATATTGGCTACAGTCAAATAGATGGGAGGCTTTGACATCTTTTAGCCGGAAGATTCTAAATGTTTACTCCCATTACAAATGAAACCAAGATAATGTTATCTCTAGACGATATTTTACAAACCATGATGATTGCCAAGGTTAATTTAAAAAAATCTAATGGACTCACTCCACACAAGAAATTTTGGGGAGTATTTATTTTCTATCCACATTAGTTAATGTGTAGTCATGAAACTAAAATATTTCTCCGGTTCCATAGAACCTAGTCACATTTCAAAATTAAAAGATACCTTTATTTCAAATATTGCTATAGCTGGGGTCATTAAAACTTAAAAACTTGTAAAGCATAACTTGTAATCCAAAATGTAAGTATTAGATATTGAGCATTATACAAACGTTTTAGTGTTTTAATTTTTAAGTTTTTAGAGATGCGGGTCTTGCTATGTTGCCCAGGCTGGCCTCAGACATCTGGGCCCTAGCAGTTCTCCTATCTCAGCCTCCTGAGTAGTGGGGACTACAGGTGTGTGTCACTGTACCTGACTATACACATTTTTAAACCTCAAAACATATGAATTGTTAGAGGAAAATTTCTCATTAATTTATAATTTTTTTTTCTTTCTGTCTAAAGCTCTGGGTTATATCAGCTACAATAATCACATTTTCTTCAAAAAAACTTCAAATTTCTTAGATTATAGAAAATGTCCTAAGATAATTTTATTGGATCAGCTTTTATTCTTAAAAAAGTTTCATATTTATGGAGATCCTTCTTTTATTTGTTGCACTCAATATATCAATTTCACCATCTATAAAATGGGGATAATAACCGTACTTAACTCATGGGGTTGGCAGAATGATTAAATGACAGAACCAACATGAAGCAGTGTTCCTAGCACATAACAAGCAGTCATCCCACGTTAGATTTTATTACTGTCAGGCTGTAGGAGGGGATGGCCACTTAGGCCCCTTTCCCTGCCTGTGTCTCCAGTGACCAGATGTTGGTTAGTAAGCTCCGCAGCCTGGATGCATCAGAGCTTTAGTAGTTGGAAGCAGCCTTCCTTCACGTTCAAGTTGCTTTATAGCATTACCCTGATGAGATGCTTGGCATGACACTCACTGACCCCAAGAGGGCAAGTTGGGTGTCTCAAGGGTAGGGTTCTCAGTGAAAAAACAGGACACCCAGTCAAATCTGAATTTCAGATAAACAATACTTTTTTTTTTGAGATTGAGTCACACTCTGTCACCCAGGCTGGAGTGCAGTGGCGCGATCTCGGCTCACTGCAAGCTCCGCCTCCCTGGTTCACACCATTCTCCTGCCTCAGCCTCCTGAGTAGCTGGGACTACAGGTATCCATCACCACGTCCAGCTAATTTTGTTTTTGTATTCGTAGAGACAGGGTTTCACCATGTTAGCCAGGAAGGTCTCAATCTCCTGACCTCGTGATCTGCCCGCCTCAGCCTCCCAAAGTGCTGGGATTACAGGCATGAGCCACCGCGCCTGGCCAACAATAAGTATTTTTAAGTGTAGGTATGTCCCTAGTGAAATGTACTAAAGATATATTATACTTTACTACAGTTATTATACTAAAAACTACTAAGGAATTATTTGTTCTTTAACCGAAATTCAACTGGGTATCCTGTATTTTTATTTGTTAGATTTGGCAAGGCAACTCTGGGCTAAGTCCCCGCTGCCCTGTGGGCAGGGACCTGTACAGCTCATCTGGTCTGGCACAGTGCTTGGCACAAAGGACCTGGAATTTCTGTAGAATAAGTGAACTGAGACCACATTGTTGTCTGAAGTTGGCCTGCCACCCACCTCCAAACAACAACCACCACCACCACAAAACACAAAAAAACAAAACAAACAAATAGCAACAACAACAACAAACAAAAACCTCCTGAGGTCTACCAGATACCCATGAGAGACTGGCCACTCCTCCTGGCCCTTCAGGGTTTGGGGGTGGCACAGTGCTATTTGGTAAACATGAAATGTGGAGAGAAGCAGGGAGCAAGAGTAGAGGCAAAAAGAGTAATTTGCAAGGGAACAAATATGAAGAATGAAGAAGCAACAATAGAATGTCTGGGATAAAGAAATTCTTTCTAGATCTAAGGCTGATGAGAATTCTCACCACAAAGACTTTCTCTTCTGCACAGAATGCTTTCTCTTCTGATTTAGATTTGTAGAGCACAGAAGTCAGTGGACTGGGGTGGTAATGAAGTCATGGAGGCAGCCAAGGT